CGGGAAGCAGGTCAGTAAGCAACACCCTTCCATGGTCTCTGCTTCAGGTTCTTGACCTGACTCACCTCAATGATGGCCTGTAACCTTTGAGGTGAAATAAACCCTTTTCTCTCCAAGTTGTTTTGGCCAGTGTTTTGTCCCAGCAATGGAAACCTAAGACAGGGAGGAAGCAGTTAATGCAGGATGGTGTGCTGTGCTGACTGGGAGAGTGATGAGCGCATCATAGTACCTGGCTGGGCACTAATCAGCGTTCAGAATCAATTTCTTTTGGAGGTAGGGCTGAGGCTGTAGTTCAGTTGGTAGAGCACTTGCTCAGCATGAGCCAAGCCTTGGGTTCGGGCTCCAGCAACACATAAACTGGATATGCTGGGATGCCTACGATCCCAGCACCAAGGAGGTGGAGGCAGGAGGATCCGAAAGTCAAGGTCATCTGTGGTGGCACAGGGAGGTTATGTGAAGCCAGCCTGTGTTAGAAATCCAGCTTTAAAAATGTCTGGAGGGCATGAGTTTTCTGCGGGCAGCAAGCAACTCGAGCCGTGGAGCCTGACTGGCACCTGAGTGCCGGACTCACTGCTCACAAAGCTCTATAACTTAGGAGACGTGGAGCCTCCATGTCCCTGGAGAAGGAGTCTTGCAGGACAGTAGAGTGCCGCTTGGTGCCTGTTCCATAAAAGTCTCTTGGACTCCAGATGGCTCAGTGGATAATGTCACTTTCCCACCAAGACTGATGACCCGAGTTTGATCAACCATGATGTGGGGGGAAAGGGCCTCAGGTGTTGGGCTTCTTGCTAGATGTGGATTCTGGGGTGCTGTGGTGGATGGGCTTGAAACTCAAGCCTGGGGCCAAGGGAACCACAGGGGGAACCACCCCTTGCCACTGAAGGCCCCAACTTTTGGCAGCCAGAACCCAATGGGACCAGGTTGGAGAAAAGCAGATGGTCACCCGACACCCGGACTTGCTGATAACTTTTGACAGCTCTAGATGGACTTCTCAGAGGTGACGAGGGCTTCTCTGCCCCTCCCCGCCACCGTAGGCCTTGGGAACATGTTCCTGCCTTGGCCTCCAAAACAGTTTCTAGCCACTGGAGGTGGAAGCACCAACCACTTCAAAGGCCAGCTGCTCAGGAAGTCTGAGAGAGCCATAACGCTTCCCACAGCCACAGACGTGCCCGGCAAGGGAAGGCTCTTGATTGGCACCTGATGCCCTGAGAGCCTTTGCGCTGTAGCATTTTCAAAGCACCAGCCTCTCATCAGCTATGGAGAGTTTGACTCGGTTCATTTCAGTCCCTCGAGGCAACCTAAGTTGTTTTACCAGTTTAAAGGTTGTTACTCCTGAACTGGTCATAAAGTATCTCGTGTTTGTACACTCTGATGTCTGCTCACTCTCTTTTTGGAGGAGGGTGGGACAAGAACCCACTGACCCACTAGGAGCCACATGGTGGAAGAAAAGTGGCTCTAGGAAATTGTATTGAGACATACACATGTGGAACATATGTGAACACACACACACACACACACACACACACACACACACTGCACACACACTGTAAAAGTGAATTCTTTCCGCTGCAGTAGGGACTAGCATGTACATTAGCTCCCTCTTGTGGTTGCAGAGACAACTGCACACCGACGCCTGACTAGTGGTCTGAAGATCTCCTGGGCTCTAAGAAGTCCAGGACAGAGGCTGGTGAGGCTCCACCATCTCCCTTATTTACTTCTCATATTCCTCTAACTGGTCCTCACTTTTTATTCCAAGACATCTATATTCCGAGGAGATGGCTTAGTCTGTAGAGTGCTTGTAAGAAGAATAAAGAGCTGGGTTCAATCCCAGCACTTGGATCTTCGGGTTCAGTGACACTACTCACTAAGCCACCCAACCAGCCCCACGGAATAAAGTTTAAAAACTCTCAGAAGCAAACCGTCTTAATTAGAAGGTGACTGCAAAGTAGATGGGAGCGAGGCTGATGTTAGTAAGTTTACGGTTTTTAGGTGATAGGATGAGAAGAATCTCTCTGTCCCTCACCTCTGTATCTAAGACAGCGTCACCCGAGAAGAGCTCCCTCCCAACCAGGACGTTGCTCTCGCTGCAATTAAATGGTAAAGGAGTTGTTATGGACAAAAGCATGGCTGCTTCCCGGGTTACAGTTACTTCACGCTTTGTCTGGACTCCACCTGAGCTTGCCTCACACAGGCCCTCAGTGGGGGAGGCGTGGCGGATGGAGAGATGCAGCTGGAGAACACTTTCTTCACTGCCCACTGGAGTAATTCTGCTTTGATGTGGGTAGAGTGGAGAGGGACACTGATGCTGAATAACCAAGCCCTGAAACACAGTCACTTTCATCTTCAAAGAGAGAAGATTTTAGGGAAAAACGTGGTTTGCTGGGACGCTGTGTACCTGTGCCTCTGGCTACTGACTGAAGGTCATGCCCAGGGACGTCTGGAAGGGAGAGACAAGATGGCTTTTAGCCTCACCCACAGATGCTCAGTTGCTTCTTCCAGAGTGCGAGCTTGATTCTCCCTGGCTAGTTGTGCTGGTTTTGAAGGCATAAAGGGATCATGGAGAACAATTGAGACTTGGCACTGTTTTGGCAGGACTTGAGTCCCTGAGGAGAATCTGGGAGAGACCATTGGTGAAGGTTCAGCTTCAGCTATAGAAGAAGCACCAGGGATGAAGAGATCATGGAGAGGAGCTGAGGATTGGCACTGTGTGGCAGGTTCAAAGTTCCCAAAGAGAGCTCAGGAGAGGCTATTGGTGAGGGTGCAGCCAAGTTGCTGCGGAGAGGCCAACATTTTGGAGATGCCAGTACCACAGATGGTGTGACCATCAAGAATATTGGCAGCCAAGAACTGGAGCTGGCTTGAGCCCCGGGGAGCACTGTCTGTCCCGTGGCAAGCCCATCAGAGCCCAGAAGATCGTGAGTGAGTCCGGGAAGTCTGACACTGAGCTTTACATGGTTGAACTTTGGTTTTGCACTGGTCTGATTGTGACTGTGCCCTGGTTCTTTCCTCTTGGAGTAAGAAAGGGTTTAACTTATTTTTTATTTTACAGGAGCCCACAATTGAGAGGTGTTGGAATTTTAGAGAGACTGAACTCTTAGAGTATTTGATTTTTTTTTGGTTTGCAGCAGAGTATTTGAAGTTTTAAAGACTGAGACTTTTAAAAATTGGAATGTTTTATATTGCAATACCAACATTAACATGCCGTCTTGGGGGAAAAATGAGAAAGGAAAGTTTTAGTGGAATAGTGATGTGTCTGTGTGTCAAGTTGCCAAGGGGCCAGTTGTGCTGACTAATTCCTGTCAACTTGACACAAGCTGGAGTCATTTGGGAAGAGGGACTCCCAATTGAGAAGGTGCCTCAGTAGTGCATTTTCTTGATTAATTGTTAATGTGGGAGGACCCATCTCACTGGGGGTGATGCCAGGCCAGACAGGTAGTCCTGGAATATATAAGAAAGCAGGATGAGGAGCAATTCAGTAAGCAGCGTTCCTCCATGGCTTCTGCTTCAGTTCCTGCTTCCAGGTTCCCCCTTGAGTTCCTTCCCTGGCTTCCTCCAGCGATGGATTTATAAGCTGTGGAGTGAAAGAAACCCCTTCCTTCCCAAGTTGCTTTTGGTCATTTTTTTAAAAATCTTAGATTTATTTATTTATTAATTTATTTATGTGTGTGTATAAGTGTTTTGCTTGCATGTATATATGTGTAACGTGTGTGTGCCTGGTGCCTCCAGAAGCCAGAAGAGGGCACTGAGTCTCCTGGAACTGGGGTTATAGATGGTTGTGAGTCTTCGTGTGGATGCCACAAATCAAACCCAGGTCCTTTGCAAGAGCAACAGTGCTCTTAACTATTGAGCCATCTCTCCAGGGCCTGGTCATGGTGTTTATCACAGCAATATAAACCTTGGGTAAGACACCCACCCTGAGATATAGACTGGAGACATATATATCCTTACACACTCTCCTCCCATGCCCGGCTCTTGGACATCTCTTCCATCAGCTGCTTCACTTTTTGTGTGGTAACACTGTATGTGCAAACATCTATGCCTGAGTATTTATCCACTACCAGCATCCTTACAGACACTTTGTAAGGACAGAAGGGCAGTATCTGAACCCCAGCCCTCAGCTGTTCAAGACCACTCAGCTCTGTGATCTGAGTTCCAGCTCTGGTGTGGCCATGGCTACCTAGGCAGGGCTCCCCCCAGCCTCTAAAACCTCAAGAGATGGGAGGAACATAAGACCCCAGTGGATAAGCAGAGCCATTTTATTTAGTGATGAATACAGAATATTCATCAAGCCTGAGAGAGGAGGAGAGCAGGTTCCTTGAGAAGATGACCATGCCATTTTCCAGGACTTGGGTCCCCTTCTGTGAACGATGGGAAGCTGGGCAGGAGGAAGAGGACAGAGCAGCAAGAAATTGTTCTGTTGGGGAAGAGTTCAATCAGGAGGGAGACTTGAGGCCAGCGACTCTCACTGGTACTGTTCCATCATCACCTGACACTCTGTGGGATGGGAGCATGCTAAGACTCAACACTGTCTCTGAGGCTTCTTGTGCGTGTGTTTGAGTGTGTGTCTGTGTCTGTGTACTCATGAGGGCTTGGCTAGTAAGTCTGCATATGTGTGCCCATGTAGATGAGTGTTTGACTGTCATGTCTATGTGCTTGAGTGTGTACCCATGATAACATGTTTCTCTTCGAAGCTGTATTGCTGTGGTTCTGGTCCGTCGCCACATCTTGTCAGTCATTCTACGGACTTCATGCATCTCTGTGTGTCTATGTTTGCCTCTTTCCTGGGGTATTGCTATAGCTTGGGTCTAACATCTTTCCCTAAAGCCCGTATCCCTAAAGGACTTAGTGCCCAGAGAGGTGCTGCTGGGAGAGCTGCTGTGGGTACTCTTGTCTCAAGAGCCTTGCTTTCCTGTCCTAGAGGATGACAGCTAGTCCACAAATGCTGGGAGATGGGAACAGCACTTACCATCTCAGCAGAGACAGGGCCTTTCTTGGAGGGCTTAGGCCTTAATGACAAATTGTACTCCATGCAGCAGCAAGTCTAGGAAAAAAAATGACTAAAGTTATGATCCAGAGGGAAAGGAGTCTGAAAAGAACCTGAGTGTCTCCCGAGGCCCTGGAGTACCAGCCATGCTCACCAACCAAACCCAGACATGTCAGGGAGCTCTAGGTGTTCCCTTCTAGCCAGCCTGGCTGTTCTCAGGTCAGACTGAAGAGGAGGAGGCAGACTTTATCTCAGACACATCTGGATCATTCATGGGAACCAAGACACCTCCAACCAGGGAGGGTGTGGCTAATGAGACCTGGCTGTCCTATGGTGTATAGGGACAAAACTTGGAAACCGTACTTACCAGCAACATCATGCATCAGGGTGACATCCAAGAGGCTGAGAATCCCGTTGACCAGAGGACATACCTGACCCAGGCCAGAGAGGGGAGTTAGGCACAGGACCTCCTGCAAGGAGACCCTTGGAGAAGCAGCATGCCCAAGGTGGAATAGATTCAGGGGTACTTTTTACAGCCCAGAAGAAGCCAACCAATGTGTTTGGAGGGGCAGAAAGAAGTAACACAGACAGCTGGACCACAGGACAGATGGACTGATGGATAGATATTTCTCATACGGAGTAGCTCAATTTATCGCAGCCCAAGAAGCTCTAAGACCCCTAGAGCAAGGGACTGTCCCTTTGATCTCTTACCACACCCTGCACCAGGCCAGGAAGGACTCTAGTCAAGACGTCTGTGAGGCTGTCTATCAGGCTTTGAAGGGGACTGAGTCTAGAAGAGAAAGGCATGGGTGTGACCCAGAGGCTTGGGGTTGGTCTGGAGAAGTTCAGCAGCCACTATGCACACTCAATCTCCGCACCCAGTAACTGAGACCAGGCCTTGCACACTCATGTCCATGGCAGGTGAAATAGCAAGGATCCTAGATGAAGAGAGTTACACCCAGCCCAGCTGTGCACACACAGAGGAGTGTGGAATAAACACACATTTCAAGGACATAGTAGGTGCACAACAAGACTGTGGGATCCATGAATGCATGAAAAGTACTTAGTTTGTAGTTGTCATGGAGACTTAGTGAAATGATACACACAAAGCCCACAATATATGTATTTAGCAAATGTGAGCCATGGTATGTATGGACAGGTCCTATACACCATGAATGACTGGGCCTTCCCATGTGACAGACAACTGGAACAAATAAGTGCTACATCTCTTTACCTCTTAGGAGGATTCTGTCAATAACATCAGTGTAGCTTTTGTTGTTGTTGTTGTTGTTATAGATAAGCAAAACAAGCCCAAATGGGAGGAACCCTGGCTAGGTTCATGTCAGAGGCTCTCTGGTTCTTCTCATCAGATTATAAAAAGTAGTCTTAAACCATATTCTATATTGTCTATCCAGCATAAAATTGGTCATCTTGGTTCAAGAAGGGGTAAGTGAGCATTTATTCATCCATTTATTCATCTATTCATGTACCTGCCTATACATGTCTCCCTACCCACCAAACGTCTTACCATCCATTCATCCATCCATCTAAACATCCATTCATCCATCCATCTACCCACCCATCAATCCATCCTCCACCCACCCATCCATGCTTCCTCCTCCAACACATCTTTCTTCCTGCCCTTGCATTCATTCATCCTTTCCTTGTTCCATCATTTTATCCTGCTATCGCTGGGCAGGAGAAGCCAGCCCTTTGTCCTTACTTGTTAAGCAGCGAGATTCGCAGGCTGCCAGGAGAGTGAATGCAGTCACCAATGACCAGACGGCTCCTCCCGTAAATGTCTCTCACAGCATAGACTTCTGCGGTGACATCCAGCTTCACAGCCAGCTCCAACAGACTTCCAACCACGAGTCTGACAGAGAAGGCACACACAGCTCTAATGGCATCTGACTTCTCCCATTCCAAGGTGGAGGGTTTCTGCTTGGCAGGAGTCCCGGCCTCACCTCACTCCATTTTGTGACAGTGGCATTGATCTCTGTGCCCATTAAAAAACAAGGTTCAGAGAGATCACGTGTTTCCCACATGACCCGAGTTTGTTCAACACATCAAATGGGTAAGGTTCATGGCTCAGGCCTCTGCAGCTTTCCATAGTCATCAGGCTGTCCCCCCAACTACCACCAGCCTTGGGACCCACTCACGTGTTCACTTTGAGTTCAAAACCCAGAGGGATGGTGACGTAGAGGCGGTGGAAGTCATAGCTCTGCACAAGACCAATTTCCAGCAGCTGGGGATTAGTGACTCTTATGCTGGTCAGGGAGAAACAAACCTCAAACCAGGGAACCACCTTCAAGTAAATTTACTCATCACAGAGGAAGAGCTAGCCTCCTGGGATCAGGACAATCTTGGAATCAGAACCACCCAGGGTTCTGAGCCATGCCTCTGTCATCTCAAACTTTCTCCTGGATCAGATCCCGACATACCCTATCCTCTGCTTACCTCAAGTCTAGGAGATATTTGAGGAAAGGGACTGGATATACTAGTTTGGAGCCCTTCAAAGAAAGAGGCTGACTTTTAACTTGGCAGGAAGATGAGTCATTGGATATGGGGGAGGGTGGATGGAGGAGGGAGTGGTTGGATGGAAGGCAGGAAGAATGGATTCATGGATGGGTGCACTGTCAATGGAAATGACACAGCCTGTCCTGATCTCTAAGAGGCAGGAAGTTGGGAAGAATTCAGAAAGGGTAGGAGGGAGCCTTCCCTGAGCCATCCATGGTGCCTGGTATTTACCCTTCCCTGGTCCCCTCCACAGCCTTTCTCTCATGTATAATCCCCATCTCACAGATGGAGAAACCAAGCCCAGGAGACCAGGTGCCTGACCTCAGGTCATCCAGCACAGACAGTTCTTATGTCAATCAGACTGAAGTCTGTCTGTCTGTCTGCAGGTCAGGAAGCAAAGGCCCGGGAAGCTGGGAATCCTGGTAATAGCCCAGTCTTACTAAGGACTAGGGCTCGAGTATCTGGTCCCTGGCAACAAGCTCCCCATTGTGGCTTTGTGCCTAGGAAGCTCTCGGGTGGCTCATGGGAAGCTCCACATCAGGTCACCTCACTTAGGTGATACGGTTGAGGACAGGCTAGTGACAGCTGACATTCCCCAGACGGGATGAGCACAGTGAGTGCAGTGGGTGGAAAAGTCCCAGCTTGGGGCTTCTCTGAGTTAGATTCCTGACTCTGCACCACCCTAGCTGTGTGAGCACAGGCACATCTCTGTGCCTCAGTTTTTCCATCTGGGAGCTGGGGATTATGGAGCTGACATGGAAGGGTTGTCATGGGGATAATAGCTGCTGGGGGAGCCCAGGCTGTGCCTTAGGACCGAGGGCAACTCCAGGTCCAAAGGGCCACTGTTCCTGGTAGAGTGGAGAGAGGCCTGGGGACGGAGTGTTGGTTCCATGCTCAGCCCACCCCTCTCTCTCTGTAGGGCTGCTGCCTGGGGCTGGCAGGTCTTCAGCTGTTAGTGGGAACCGAATCCCTCTTTGGGGCAACTCACTCGAGGATGTTGTTCAGGATCGGGATCGATGAAATCACTTTTCCAAGCACCCCGACCAGGCCACCAGCATTGCTTCCTGCAGGTCTCACGTAGCTCAGGAGAGGCATGTGTTCCAGAAAGCCCAGAATCCCCCCAGACAGCAGGCCTTGGCTGAAAGCTGCAGAGTGGAGAATCTCAGGGTTCACATCTGCTAACTCTAGAGCAGCAGTTCTCAATCTGTGGGTTGCAACCCCTGTGGGGGTTAAATGACCCCTTCACAGGAGTCTGCTAAGACCATCGGAAAACATAGATGTTTGTATTACGATTAATAACAGTAGCGAAATTACAGCTATGAAGTAGCGACGAAAATAATGTTATGGTTGGGGGTCACTACAACATAAGGAACTGTATTAAAGGGTTGAAGCATTAGGGAGGTTGAGAACCAATGTTCTAGAACCTTAGACCGTCTTCTCACTGATGATTCCCTTCCTATTATTGGGAAGTTGTATACATCAGCGCACACATGTGCAAACACACACACACACACACACACACACACACACCCCTGAAAGAGGCTGTCACAGATTCACTTACCATCTCTGAGGTTTCTAGCAAGATAGTCTGTAGGATATGTGGATATGACTGGGGTCGCCCCATAGGGCAGGCTCTGGCCCAGGTGCAAGGGCCGGCAGTAACCCACAG